AGATGAGAACTGTGCTTCTTATATCAACTCTCTGATAACTCAAATAATGCATTCCAATACCATACTATTTTGTAAAAAAAAAAAAGAAAGAAAGAAAAAGAAAGAAAAAAAGAAAAGAAAAGAAAATCAGACCTGTTTACTTAGTTACCTTATCAAAACTGTCATTTTTCCTGTTCTCCAAGTTACCCAGACTTAATATGCTCAAAATAGAATCTCTGTTTTTGTTGTGTTGTTGGCTTTTCAAGACAGAATTTTATTTCATATCCCAAGCTGGCCTTCAACTCACTGGTGTGGAAATTATTGTGTATGTCAGCACATCTGGCTTCAATCAAAATTCCTTATTTCTTTATAAACTCTTTTGTGTGCACATGTGTGTGCATGCATGGGCATATGTGGAAGTCAGAGGACAACTTTCAAGAGTTGCTTCTCTCCCTCCACCATGTAGGTTCCAGGGATCAAACTTGGGGCACTGGGGCTTGGTGGCAAGTGCCTTTATGCACTGAACCATCTTGCCAGTCCCAGGCAAAATTCTTGATTTCTTTCAATCAAATTTTTCTCTGATGTAACCCAGTTCACTGAACAGCAGCATCATCTACCCAGCTGTCAAAACGTCTCAATCATAACTGTGATTTCACCTCTCTCATCTCCAACATCCCAAAAGTGTCATGGATTTCTCCAGTTCTCAATGATCCTACCATCATTGATCCAAGCCATCGATCAAGTTTCCAGCAATAGTCAACTATTCAAGGCTTTTCACCTCCCAAACTCAGTCCTACAAGTTCACACACACAAAATAGCTAACAGTTTTCAAATCCAGGCATGATTTTTTTCAGGCTGGAGATTCAAATTTTCCAGTAACATGTCATCCCTCAGGATGAAGGTCAAAATCCCTAAGGTGAGTCACACATACAAGGTGGTCCTCATTCTACTCCAGACTCCCCTCCTGCAATTGTTTCTTGCTGCCTCTCTCCTTCCCCTTGCAGGGTCTGGTCATAGTTAAAACCGGTGATATTTTCAGCTCCTGTTCCCTATTCCATGGGTGGCCTCACAGTAATAATGAAGAGCCAGAGTGGTATGGGAGAAAAAGAAAAAGCCTGCAAAAGTAATGTCTATCAAGTCCCTATGGCAGTCAGTTGTTCTTGTATAGGCAATGTAGGAAAAAGGAAACACAAAGATGACTTTGGTAGACTGACTGTAAAGGAGAATGCATTTTTTTTTTGTTTTCACCAAGCTATGGGCTCCTCTGGATTTTAATATTATAGTGGGGTCAAAACAAGAATTTCCTCTATTGTTGGCTTTACACAGATGCAAAGCGGTGCTCAGGAAGCTGGGAGATTGATGAATAGTTGGTTTGATGTATTTGATCCATTCAGCACTTTGAGTTAAATGTGCATACTCTGTTCAGAATAGACAATAGGGAGGGGCGGTTCCCCTTTCCCTCTCTAACTTGCATAACATCAGGCCTCACTGCTTTAACTAATGAGTGTTTAGAAGTCAAAGCTCCTACTGATTCCAGGGAGCCATTAATTCTTCGCTTGCAGAGCCACTGTGGAGTTTTTCATAGGCCACATTTCTTAGCTATTATCATTTAGTTCTGAGCAGCAGAGCTGACCCCTGGGTTCCTGTGTGTGTCACACACCAGTCATACAATAGGTTCTAAAGTTCCCTTGGAAGGAATTTTACTGAGGACCAGGAAACAGATGCAAAAAATGTACCATGCTGGCTACTCTGTGGCAAAGGTGTCTCGGAACTGTTACTTTGAGGGGACTTAATTGACACGGAGTAAGAATGTATATTTAAACCAACATATAAGCTGGTAGAAGGCAAGCAGAGGCAAGCTGCAAGATTCTCTTAAACTAATTGCACAGTCAGTGCTACCCTTTGTAATAATGATGTTTGCTCCATTATTGCTCCAGGTTGATTATTTGCTCAATAGCCTCATTGATCTTGCCTCAGTAGGCTTTCCAGGTTTTACACATTACATTCTCTTGGGAATTGAAAAGCACTGTGTGTCTGAAGATGCTCAGTCAACTTGAAAAGACTCGTTTTTTAAAAGGTCTTAACCTGCTTTCAGCTTAAAGCAATTTATTCAGTCTTTGGCCAAGCAAACATGAGGCCTGAGATGGATGTATCACTGGGATCTGCAGGTTTTACCATCGCTTGGAAGCTGTTCATCTGAAAGGTCATTTACAGAACAAAGTTGAAGGATAGTCAAAATGCAGAGATCTATACTAACAACTAAAGAGAATACACATACCATTAAGACCATGGCATTTTATTATTGGATGGATTCTACATTATTCAATATCATAAATATTTTGTGGGGACCCTGACTAGTTCATTAAGACTCCAGGCCCTGAACTCATAACTAAAAAATTTATAATGCATGGAAGAAGGGCAAGGTGAAAGAAGAAAGCAGCTGAAAAGAAAGTAGCTGGAAAGGCTGGGAAAGCTGCTCTCATTTGACTTGAGAGAAATTCAAGTTGGAAAGGCAAGATTTTTTTCTTTTCTATTTTTTTTTTGTATTTTGTTTGTTTTGTTTTTGAAAAACTTGAGGTCTCACTCATTTTACTCATCAATCATTCCCTGCTATTTAAAGGAAGGAAGGGCAATTTAATTATTCTAAGCTTGTGACTGAGGCATCCTGAAGCTCTACAACTTCAAGGAAATAAATTCAGCAGCATTGTATAAAAATACCAATAACATTATATATGACACTGATTGAACCAAAGGCAATATATAGAAAAAAAACAGTTTCAACTAGTATATGTTCAAAAGTTACAGTGCTCTTCACTTCCTCTCTATTGTCTAAAATCTTAAACATTTTAGCTAAGCCAACCAGTAGTGATGGTTATGTAATAGGTAAAAAAATGACAATGAAAAGGCCAATTAATACTGCAAATTAGTCATCTTCTGACAATAATCATACTTCACACAGTGACTCAGCAAGACATTACTGTGAACTTCAACAGCTTTTAATGATTTGTACAAAGAGGCATGACTTGATTTGGGCTTCCAAATGACTTTATCAATCATTCCCAAGACTCCAGGAATACTAATAAACAATTAGTTCATAGGACAAAAGGTTTGCCTATATTAACCTTCCACTCACCCTGACATCCACAAGTAACACTTGCTTTCCACGACAGGGAAGAAAATGTTAGGAGTTAAAAATAGGTCTATACAAAGTTTGAGAAACTTTAAAAGTAGTACCTTAGAACAATGACACTAGCTAGAGTTTTTCTTTTCCAGAAGGAAAGATGAGAGGTAGAAACACCAGTCCTCCTCTCCATCTGCCCTAAATATTTGAGTCACAGAGTTTATTTATGTTGAAATTGGTTATCTACTGCTTGAAACCTAAGCAGAATACATCAGCATTTTGGGACCACCTGGGACCAAGGGGAGCTGGGAAATTTCCAACTCGAGTGTAAGACTATTCATTGATATTTACATAATGAGAATAAATGTTTTTCCTAAGATAGCATTTCCCTTTAGTGTCTTCAGACCACCAGCAAGAGAGGGAGGCACAGAAATTCTATTACATTAATAGTCTTTGTTTTTATGGCTTTGGCATTTATTAACTAGTGGGAGCTGTTTATTGGGTCATAAACTTTACTAATGGGGATATTATCTCTAAATTATAAATCTCCTTCGGTATATGGCTTAGTTATAAAACGAATAATTATTTAAAGTGTCTGTATAGCTGCAATGTATCATGTTTATCAGCATGATTCCTATAATGGCAATTTTATTATTAATTGTGAGCTTGAACCAGGAACCACCAGGGCAGGAACACAGATCCTTGAAACAGAATGAATAGTCATCACCCCATGAACTCAGGAACACTATCATTGGTTTACTTCCTTTTCTTCCTGATTCTCAATTGAATTACATTACAAGCCTGTACAAGGGCTAAATTATCTATACAGTTAAACTCAAGGGAAAGACAATTGAGTGAAGGGTTGAATAGGTAGGTGACAGATGTGTCAGCTTGAAAATTTCTAGGCAAGTGTCATAACGTCTAAAAGCTTGCTCTCTGGAAAGTAGAAAAATCTTAAAATGACAAAATAGCTTGGCATTGTTGGTTGCCTTTTTTAAAAAACTGGGACAAAAATCAAGCCATAAAATTTAGAGTTTTATGGGCCCACTGTTCTAGTATCTAACTTGTGAATACTAGATTAATGCAAAGCTCTATGGGGTCAGTTCTAATGGTGCACATGAAATTGTCCTAGATTTATGGAGAGAAGTAGTTTACTGATTAGTTTTGATTAAAAGAAAATGAAAGAGCCATTGTTGTCAAGTAAACTGGACCATATAAGAAGCCAACTCATTTTGGGACAAGGGGATGCTGCAAATGTAGAATGAAGGAATAAAGAGATAGGAAGGGATCCTGAAATGCCCTTGACTCCTCTTCTCCCCAGGATGACCCCTGACAGGCACAGTCCCCTTTTGACAGACTCCCACTGCCTCTGAGACAAACAGATTTATGATATCTAGCACCCAGCACTGGGGTCTGACATGGCCTAGAGAAGACTTCTGGACACTGAAGCTCCATGGTGATAGGTTGTAATCAGATAAACGCTATATGATAAGAATTCTGCTGTGTGAGGACAAAAATCAGAGCAGAGAAATTTAGGAGAGATCCATTGTAATTTTAAGCTACTTAAACCTTTGGGCTGGAGGTTGAGAGGCTAGTAGTATGTATGTGAACCAAACCAAAACAAACCCTTGAAACCTTCCACAATCACATCCCTAAATATTTTAGGCATATTTAGGCATAATACAATTTTGGTCATGCTCTAGTTATATACACATGCATATCTGCCTAAGCTAAGAAGCTGATTTTAGATATAAAAAGGCACTAAAAATATAAACACAGCATATGTTTCGATTTCTCTCTCTCTCATTTGTATGTGTGTGTGTGTATGTGTTGGCAAAGAGAAGGTTTTTTTTTCCCCATAACTTCACTAACTTCAGAAAATAAACACACTCACTCTAGAGAGGTTTAAGAATTATTTTTGATGAGGTGTGTTGCTACAAAAGTTAATTATGTAAGTAATAAACATGTGTCAAAAGGATTTCAAAAATGCTTAACAGAATCATAACTTATTGGTCTGACATAATTTGATTTTATATTGTCATGCACAGCTGTCAAAAATCATTTTCCTTTCACATTGCAATGAATCAAATTATATTAGATGGAAATTATTGTAAGAGTCTTTGGTATTCATAAATAATGCATACAACAAAAATTGTCAACATTGTTTTAAATGGTATTTTTAATAGTGCCGGTACATCAGCAGTATAACAGGCTGTTTGTTCTGAAGAACTACAGCGACAAAGGAAGATTAAATGTGGTTTATGGATTTCCATTTAATACAAACCTTGTTTCTTTTTTGTTTTTAATGAAATTATATCTATTAAAATAAACATGGCAAAATGAGAGCAGTAAATCAAAGAGAGTCCATCGAAACTTTCACAGTCCGTTCTCCTCTAAGCCATACACTTCCTTCAAAAAGTCTAAGTATCTAATGTATTTCACAGGAATCGGTGATGGCATTCCCATCCAAACATCTTCACATTTCTGGAAAAAAAACAAAGAGGGACACAATTAGAGCCACATTTCAAAGTTCAGTTTTGAAATTTCAGTGCTAGATTGTTTTGGTTTTGTTGGTTTTCAGTCTTTCAATAAACTTTTGGTGAAGTCATTTCAGGGCTGTAGAGATGAATGGTGCAGTGGGCAAGAACACTTATACTGTTCCTGCAGAGCACCCATGTTTGGTTCCCAGCACATATACATGATAGCTTACAACTGCCCATAACTCTAGCTCCAGAGGAACCAACACCTTCTGACCTTCATGGGCCCATGCATACATATGGTACACATACTTACCCTAGATACACACACACACACACACACACACACACACACACAATATTCATTTAAAATAAAAGAGTAGAGATTTGTACATTCTACTTAGGTACTTAGGTATCAGAAGGACTTTGAGGAAGAACATATTATTATTCTTAATTGTTTGTTTACTTCCTGCATTAGAATTCTATGTTCCCAATCTTTACCATGTAACTGTAGACCCTTCCATGGAGAAAGAAGAGGAAGAAAGGATGGATGAGTGAAGGAGGAAGGGAAAGGAAAGGAAGAGAAGAAGAGGGGGGAGAGAAAGAGGAAACAGGAAAAGGAGTATTGTCCTGTTCCTCTAAGAGGAACATGACCACACGAATGGCGATGACTTGTGCATGGAAAATAGATGTGCTGCTTCTAGAATGACAAAAATGGAGAAGATCTGGCCCAATTTACAGCCATGAGCAAAGCCCAGCTGGCTGCCCTACAGACCCACAGACAAGACAAATCAACTTGTCTTGTGAAACACTGAAATTCTGGGAGCTAGACAGCACTAATGCAGTGGCAGGTCCTCTCACACAGTATTGAGAACTCAAGTTTTTATATCCAAGATGGTATTTCTATCAGCTACTTGGTTACTGTTTCTTCAAAACCATTAACAGTAGTAGGTAAGCTTAGGCCTAAGCCTAACATGGGGAATGGCTAGATGATATTACGTGATCATGTTCTAGAGGTATACTGACTAGTGCAGCTAAAGCTTAGGATTATGGCAGCAGTTTAGCAGAGAGTTGAATCACCAAAGGGTGTTCTATACATAGTCAAAAGTATAACTAAAGACCCAGAGACCTTAAAACCTCCTTGCAAGAAAGGGTTGAGTAGCCCAGTTTGGTACAGGGCATATAGTGCAAAGTGGCAACAGGTGGTTGGAAATAGAAGCTAGCGTCAACTTTAAGCCTTCTTCACTAGTTCATACTTGAGGGTATCATGAGAGGAAGCTGCTGGTCAGTCATGGCCAGAATAACAACAGTATTGTGATTGGAAATTGATTAGATAATTTGCTGGATGTTAGGAGAATGAAGTGTTACAAATCAGTTCTATGGCAACTACAATAATCCTGGGGAGAGATGACTACGTCACAACCAGGAGGGCTGAAGCTGGGCTGCAAATCAGGAGCTATCTCAGAACAACTCTGAGCAGAATACCTACAAGTCCAAGACTTGAAACTTGAAATGGTGGGAAAAGGAAGAGGGCAATGTTAGGGTTGAACTATATGCCCCCAGAAAGATATGCTGACATCTTAACCCTCTACACCTCAGAAGGTGACTACAGATGTAAATAGATAAGTTGAAGATGATGAAGTCATATTGGTATAAGTTAAGCCACAAATCCAGTATGACTGTGTCCTTATACAAGGATGGTCATGAAAAAACTGACCTGTTGGAGAGGATGGCATGTTATGACAAAGGATGGTGTTACACAACTGTAAACCAAGAAACACCAAAAATGGATGGCAAACTGCCAAGAGCCAGGAGGACCTGTGGAAGGAGTCTGGCGAAAGCTTCATAGGACCTAAAGCCTTGCTGGCACATTGATTTTATACTATTAGTGTCCATGATTAGGGGATTGTACATTCCATTGTATGGAACCACCTAGTTTGTGGTACCTTGGGTACTTTGTTAGGTCAGCCCTGACAAACTAATGCAGGCAGAGGGGCTTTAAGAATTCTAAATTTAATATCTGACAATCTCAAATTACCACAACCCAGGTGGCTTTAAACAATAGGAATGGATTCACACACAGTTTAGGAGTCCAGGAGTCCATAATCAAACTGTCAGCAGCACTGACTCATGTAACCATCTAACTCCTTCAGCTTCAAGAGATGCCACTGTTCTTTCAGTCCTTGCCTCTGCGTGGTGTTCTCTGTGTGTCTCTGAGTCTTCACATAACCATCTTCTTAGGATAGCAATCACTGAGTTTGGGATCTAATCCAATCTACTATTGCCTCATTTTACTTCATGCAAACACCCTATTTCCAAATCAGGTCATATTCCAAGATTCTGGATAGACATCATTTTGAGGATTAATAATAGTCAAGTCCATGTAATGTCAATAAGCAAAATAAGTAAAGTAGGATAGAAGGGATTTTTTTAGTTATTTTAAGTGAATAACTTAATAACAAAATTGAACTTTATTTCATGTGCTCATGGGACATCAAGATAGAGTCTATGCTCAGTCCTAAAGGGGACAGCCATATCACACCCCCTCCTCTTATTGCTGAGAGATCATTGAAGAAGAGGGGATGGAAAGACTGTTAGAATCAGAGGCAGCAGATGACTACAAGGAAATAGTGTTTTTCAGAAACAATGGGGCAGTTGTACACGTGAATGCACAGTGGTTGTGACCGCATGCACAAGACCTGGGCAAACTCAAGCCAGACAGAATCCCAGCATGGAGAGGAGCGGAGAGGAGAGGTCGGCACAAAGTCTCACTCCTAGTTGAGGAGCTATTGACTGCTGACAGCTCCTGTAGCTAGAGAGTCTGTTTTCATTAAGGGTGTGGCCCTGGTAGGTGGATTACTCCAGGGAAGGCTATATATCCAAGAGTACATGGGCAATACAAATTTGACTTGGTGATTTAAAAAAAGAAGACACACAGTTGAATGGATAGGGAAGGGAGGTAGATCTGGGAGGAGCTGGGGAAAGGATGAATATGATGAAAATACATTCTACAAAATTCTCAAAGACCTAATAAAAAAGGACACCAAAAAGAGAGGTCCTTGTAAATCCTGGGAAAATGGTTCCATGTAGCACAGAGTTAGAGTTCAGAACTATGTGAAAATTCCGATGTCACTGGAATGTGGGTGATCTATCAAGCTATACCAATCAATAATACTAATATAGAATCAGAAGAGCATCAAGTACTCGCATCTTTAACAAGGCTACAAATCTGAATCTAAAAGATGAGTTACGAAAGTAAATTGCTTGCAGTTTTTGCAGGGTTGTGTCTTATACATACTTAGTGTTAGAGCAGTACCAGGAAATGTATTACATATTTATTATATGATAATAACTATTAAGTGTTTTATATGCATTACATTACTTGTCACAGAAAATCCCTAAGAGGTAGGTGTTACTGCGACACATGTTCACAGAAAAGGTAATTGAGGTATAGGATTAAGTAACTCCTCTGCAACCAAATCACCAGTCATCAGGGGAAGAACTGAACTGTCTCTCAGCAATGAAGCTCTACAGGTATGCTTATGTAGCATGCTACCTTTCAAAACCATGCAATAGAGTGGGCCTATTCACAAGCAGCTGGTTATCATCCTACATAGTGACTTTTGGTCCTACCATTTTCATTAAGAAAAGTTAAGTAGAAAACAATATAGTTCTTAAACAAAACAAAAACAACTTCATTTTAATTAAGTCTGGGGCTGGGGTTAGGTGCACGGGAGTACAGGCACCTTAGGAGGCCAGAGGGCATTGGATCTCCTGGAGCTGTAGTTATAGGCAGGTGTCAACTGACTTCCATGGGTGATGTGAATCAACTTGGGTCTTCTGTAAGAGCAGTATATGCATTTAAATTCTGAGCTATCTCTCTGGCCCCTAATAATGTGACTCTCAAAGTGATACTTCTGCCTCAAAAATGCCACCTGTGAGGGAGAGCCCAATCCACCAACTGGCAGTCTGAAGGAAGTGATGCTTCAGAAAGATAATGGTAACACTGATTCAAAAGGGTCTTCTGTATAGTCCATACCACATGGACTTTAGTGACATGTCATTCCTCATACCAAAAATTAGGAAGTCACTCTAGATATAGTGAACATGGTATTTTAATCAATGAAAGCTGAGCTCAATAAGCCATTCAACTCCAATATTCAATACATTCTCGAAAGTTTCTTAAAATTCAAACCAGTGTCTGTTCTTAGATGGCATTTTAGAATTTAATCTAAGCACAGAGAAATGGTAAAAACATATATTCAGAATCATTATCCCCTCATGGGATTTTTTTAAAATAAAAATTTGATACAAAAATAAAACACATTATGTCACTCATGTAACTATAATGGGCTTACTACAGGAACACTCATAAAACAGGTCAGTATTAATTATCCTCATTTTTTAAATTTTATTTATTTTTATTTTTATGTGCATTGGTGTTTTGCCTGCATGTATGTCTGTGTGAGGGTGCCAGATCCCCTGGAACTGACAACTGTGAGCTGCCATGTGGGTGCTAGGGATTGAACCCTGGTCCTCTGGGAGAACAGCTCTTAACTGCTGAACCATCTCTCCAGCCCCCTCTCTCATCTTTATTAGGTACAAAAAGTGACTGTTGTTTATATTGTTTTAGCATGGAATTATGATTTAAATGCTACCAATAAAAGAGAAAATGATAAGAATTTATACTGGAATAATAACTCAAAAATTTAGATATGAGAACCAAATTTATTAGCAACAGGCTGTCAGGCAAAACGAAACAAGTAAATAGCCAGATTTCTAAGAGGGGTAATTTGAGGCAAAAAGGTAACAGCAGTCCATTTCTTTAAATCTTGACCACTTTGAACCCTAAGACCTCCTGCAGTGCTTTTCGGACTTTTCCCATCATGCTGTGTTCTTTGTTTCCGTTCAATACCGTTTCCCACCATCATTTCTTTTTCTCCTTTGTTAGTGATCCCTAGGTTCCTGGTTGGAGTGACTTCTACTAAATGCCACAGAGACACATGC